GAGGAGAGAGACGGCATGCACCAGAAACATCTATGGGGAACATCTGAGGGAACCCGTGCAGCCCCCGAGAGAACCGGCCGGTGGTGTGCCGCTCCCCTGCGGAAGTGGGGAATGCGGCCAGGGGGAACTGCCCTTCCACGGAGGTGGAAGGGATAGTAGCCAACCCGGGAAGAACCAGCAGCAAACCCGGGGAGGGCCGAGCAGACGAAAGAACAGCGCAGGGTCCTGTGTCGTTCCTCCACGAAGAGGGGGAGCGACACTCTCCCAGTGCCATATTGTGGGAGAGCAGATGCATAGAATAAGTCTTAATTCCAGTAACTCAGTCCAGTCCGGATTGCTCCCCACAGATCCCCCTTTCTTTTTATTTTTGGCGTTGATACGCGCCTGTCTTCGGTGCCCCGCGGCACACACTCTGCTCTACTTGCTAGAGTTGCCACAGGTTCTTTACAAGTCCTATCAATCAGGCAAACCGAATCCGGGTCCTCTCTTCGCCATGTTGTGAGGAGGTTTTTAGGCGCTGATGCGTGCCTGTGTTCGGTGACCTGCGGCTCATACTCTGGTCGAGCCGCCTGCTGGCGCTTACCGCCTTAATCAGGCAGACCGAATCCAAGCTTTCTCATTGCCGTATTGTGGGGGAGACTTATTAGTGTTGGTTCGTGCCTATCTTCGGTGACCTGCAGCTCATACTCTGGTCGAGCTGCTTGCTGGTGCTTACCGCCTTAATCAGGCAGACCGAATCCAAGCTCTCTCATTGCCATGTTGAGGGGAGGCCTTTCTATTTCTCTATTTCTCTATCTCCGGGCATTCCTATTTCTCCCATTTTACTTCTATCTTCCAGCATTCCTATTTCTCTCACTTTGCTTCTAAACTTCTATTTCTCTTATCCCTGCAGCTTCCCGGCGCCTCGCCCTGCCGGCAGCTTCCCGGCTCTGCGCCGCTTCAGCCAGCGCCTCTCTCATCTGCGCGGCTCGGCTTTGCGCGCACACTCCGCGGTCTTGCACTTAACCCTTTCGCGTCTGAACCACGGCCTCTCGCCAGCCCCGCGTTCCCTATGTACTTGAGCCCCGCACGCTCTGTCTGCGCGCGGCAGCCTCCGCGAGTCACACAGCGTAGCTTACGTGTCCGCCACTAGCATTCAATCTAAGTTCCCCGGGCTAACCTGGCGAATTCAACCCAGCTCACGTTTCCGCCCCACGATCTGGCTTCCCGTCCTTTGCTCCCCGGGCTAATCAGACGGATCCCAATCTGGCTTACGTTTCAGCTTCTGGTTTCAACTTTTCGCCCCCTATTCCCGGGCTAACTTGAGAACCCCAAAGTGGCTTTCGTGTCCGCCTTGGCCTGCCCCCCGCGGCTTCAATTTCCCTAACATTTTTCTCTACCCGGTATGTTTCCCTAAGTTTTCTTCCAACAATATTCCTCCCTCATTTCTCCTGGCCTCTCCCCACAGTCCGCGACCGAGTCTGTTTGTTCTAGCTTTCACTTTCGCTTTCGACCTTTAGAGATTTCTCCCAGCTTCCCCCGTAGTCCGTATCTGAATCTATGCCTAGGCTTTCAACAGCTTCCTCCGGCACCCTTTTCGTCCGGCTTTTCCCTAGGCTGTTTGCTAGTCTCTCTCTCCGGTAATTTCCCTAGGCTGTTTGCTAGTCTCTCTCTCCGATATTTTCCCAGTTCTTCCCGTTTCTTCCCTCCTAAGTTTGTTATCCGTCCTAGGTTTCCTATCCGAGTCAGGTTTCCTATCCGTCCTAGGTTTCCTATCCGAGTCACGGCACCATTATGTCGCTCCCCCTCTTCGTGGAGGAACGACACTAAGCCCTGCCTAGGCTTCATATCCGAGTCACGGCACCATTATGTTGCTCCCCCTCTTCGTGGAGGAACGACACAGGACCCTGCGCTGTTCTTTCGTCTGCTCGGCCCTCCCCGGGTTTGCTGCTGGTTCTTCCCGGGTTGGCTACTATCCCTTCCACCTCCGTGGAAGGGCAGTTCCCCCTGGCCACATTCCCCACTTCCGCAGGGGAGCGGCACACCGCCGGCCGGCTCTCTGGGGGCTGCACAGGTGTTCCTTCAACTAGATGTTCCCCTTAGATGTTCCTGGTGCATGCCGTCTCTCTCCTCCTTTATAGTCCTCCTCCGCCAATCCCAACTCAGCTGCCCACACGCCGAGTACGCTGCTCTCCTCCAATCAGGAGCAAGTCCTACAGTTTATTGGCTGAACTGGAGGCAGCTGTGCAGAAGCTGTTTACTTCTCTCCCAGCGCCATATTGTGGGAGAGCAGATGCATAGAATAAGTCTTAATTCCAGTAACTCAGTCTAGTCCGGTTTGCTCCCCACAGGAAAGGGGAGGATTGCGGGTGGGAGGGACGTTATGGGGGGGGAAGCCACTGTAATCCATAAGATGTACTTTGGAAATTTATATTCATTAAATAAAAGTTAAAAATAAAAAAAAGCAAGGAAAAAATAGGATCTGATGTGTAAAACCCTACATTAGCTATATTTATTAAGCAAATATTTAATAAAGGACTTCTAATATATAGTCATATGAAATTCTTATTTTGAGAAATGTTTTAAAATCCTTTGAAAGTATTAAGGGATCTTTGGAATACAAATAACTCTTGATGTGATTCTGTAAATTCATTTATCTTAAAATAGAACCATATGTTAATGAAAAATTAAAATAACCCAAACAGTGGAATTCTTAATAGTTGTTGTTACAGATGGAGAGTCAATACTGTGATGCTGATAATATCTCCTTGTGTTTTTCTAATTAATTATTTATTTAAATAGCAGAGTAACAGAGAGGGAGACATAGAGACAGAGAGACAGATGTTTCATCTTCTACTTCAATATCCAAATGCCTACAACAGCCAAGTTTAGGCCATGCTGAAGCCAGGAGCCAGGAACTCCACTGAGGTCTCCTACAAGGGTAAAAGAAGTCCATGGGTGAAAGGATGGCCCTAGGCAATCATCAGCTTCCTAGATGGAATAGCAGGGAGCTGCACTAGAAGAGTGGAGCAGTCAGGACTTGAACCATGCACTCCAATATAGATGCGGTCATTCCAAGCAATGGCTTAACCAATTGCTCCATGGGACCTGTCCCACTTTCTCATGTTTGATCCATGCAACACAAGTCATATGAGTGATATTCTCATACCATTGGCCAGCCATTCCATTTAATCAGCGGTTCTCAAATCTTGCTGTACATTTGAATCACCTGGGATTTTTTTTTTAAATTCAATAATATAGTTCTGTCACAAGAGATTCTGGTTTAATTATTCTAAAGGGTATCATCCATAAATTTCCCAAGTAATTCTAATATATACTTAGGTTTAAGATCCAAAAATTTAGTTTATCAAAAATGGCTGATTTCTTCAAGTCATGTTTTTTTGATTCAGCTCATAAATTATTCTTAGACTCAATGGACAAGGACATTATGTGTGTTTCAAGAAAGAAAGGCAGTTGGGATTGGTGCTGTGGGGTGGGGGGTAAAGCCATCGCCTGCAATGCCGGCATCCCATATGGGTGCTGGTTTGAGTTCCAGCTGCACCCCTTCCAATCCAGCTCTCTAATGTGGCCTGGGAAAGCAGTAGAAGATGGTCCAAGTCCTTAGACCCAAGTGGGAGACCTGGAGGAAGCTCCTGGTTCCTGGCTTTGGATCAGTCCAGTTACGGCCACTGTGTCCATTTGGGGAGTGAACTAGTGGATGGAAGATCTCTCTCTCTCTCTCTCTCTCTCTCTGCTTCTGCCTCTCTGTAACTCTGCCTTTCAAAAAAATAAATACATCTTTAAAAAAAAGAAAGGCAGCATATCATAGTTGTTAAGAATAAATATTTTGAATTCTAGTTCCAACACTAACCAGAGATAAGTTCTTGGGAGAATAACTCTCCATTTATCATCATAAATAATAATAAAAATATTAGTAGCATCATAGAGGTTAATATCCAGTGAGTAAATTCATGTTTAGCACTTAAAACAAAGGCTGCCAAACAGAAGCACTCTACAAGGGTTATCTAATGATTAGGGTACCAAATGGTAATATTTGTAATCAAGAGACAGGATACTGTGCTAAAAAATATTTTCCTACTCTGAGCTGAGTCTAAAATAAAAAGTAATGCTGACTTAATTATTAGAATTGTACTGGACAAAGAATGTGGTAATGTAAAACCAAAAGCACGAAAATAAAGATGAAAAAATTCTCTGAAGAGTAGTCCTGGTGCTTGTCTAAGTAAGTTACACTTCACATAATTCATTAACGATGACAAAGGAAAAGGATTCTTTACAAAGGATTTTTACTTAATAAATTCCAGGACTTACAGAGATAAATTACTCAAGAGATCATTTCTTTAAAAATCAACATATTGATAATAGAAAAAATAACATTTATGTTAAACAAAAGTAATCATGAAGTTTGTCTTATTCAAACATACTTAACCCCTTCCTGCTAAATCATTGGACCTGGGTGGCCAGTGTTGTGGCGTAGTGGGTAAGCCTCTGCTTACAACGCCAGCATCCCCTTCTGGAGCACCTAGCTGCTCCACTTCCAATGCAGTTTCCTGCTAACATGCCTGGGAAGGCAGCAGAAGATGGCCTGCCACCCAAATGGCAGACCAGAATGGAGGTCCTGGCTCCTGCTTTGCCCTGTCCCAGACCTGGCTATTGCAGACATTTGGGGAATGAACCAATGGAGGAAAGATCTCTCTCTCTCTGTGTCTCTTTCTCCCTCTAGCTCTCTATCACTCTATCTTTCAAATAAACAAATAGTAAATAAATAAATCTTAAAAAACAAAGTCATTAGACCTGGGAAGTGATGGCGGGAGATGAGGGGAAGAAGAATGGGGAACGATATGATTCCACTGTCAAATATATATTCAACAGATATATATTCTAATCCTGGAGACTAAGATGGTATCAAAGAAGAGAATTTAGTTAATTTAAACTTGTTTAATGAATAAATAAAAGCTCTTTTGCTAATCATAATGTTCTTGTAAAAATAATTTTTAACTCACCCGTTTGGATCGCAGTTCACTGGTCAAAGAACTAGATTCTTCAGAGGTATTTTTATTCCCTGCTTTAGGTACTTCAGGAGAAGGAACTATGAGTTTCATGTAAGCTTCTTTTTTGGCTTGATTTACTAAAGATAAGGGTTTCACATTGGACACCAATCCCGTAGACTGAATTACACTGGTGTGTTTGTTCACAGATTCCTCCTTTGCCTGAGAGCTTTGGAAAATAAATGGAAGCTGCTGTGACAAAACCTGAGGCTGCTTTTGCTGGGATTGGAATGATGGGTGAGTCTGGGATTCAGACACAAGAGGTAATGGCTGGTGTATTCTTTTTTCCTGGGCTTTTTCAGTCGCTTTCTGTCCATCTGATTTTGGGTCCGAAATACCATGTAATAGCACCTGGAAATAAAAATGGAAAGGCAACTTCTGAATACTTATTTAAGACAAACAACATTAAGCAGTAAAACTTAAGAGAAAAAAGTGTACTTTAGAAAAGGATCCTAATCACTTGTGATACACTAAAAATTTATTACTTATCTCTTAAAAATGTCTTTCCATTTACAGTGCTTTTGTGTGAAAAAGTAAGAACTCAAGGTCATGACTAATTTTAAAAGCAGAGATAACCCAGTTAGTACCTAGGTGTGAGTAATACTTGGATACCCTCTATGAGACAATTATACCTGGTTGTTACTTTGATGTTGTGCTTCACCCTCTGATTCAGAATCATCATCTTCACTTTCTTCAATACTTTGATCTTCCTCTTCATCTTCCTCTAGATCATCTGAATCACTACTACTAATGCCTTCACTGGAGGTGTCTGAGGATGTGCCTGAATCACTATCACTGTTGCTAGAACTTTCCATAGTTTTCTTCCTTGGTTTCTGTAGAAAGAGACGGTATTTAGCAAGATTTTAATTGGGGAAAAAAATCAAGCTTCAGTAAAAAGTGTACTCTTTCAATATTCAAATATTTTCCATCTCAAAATGCCATTTTAGGAAAATGGAAAAAGTTATGTATTATAAAGGTAATTTTATGCAAACTGATCAAATTAACTATCTGAAAGAAATTTACCAACAAGTACAAATGGATTATTGAAAACATCAACATGGTATACACACAGACTTAGCAATATGAATGGCATGCTTTAAAATGTGAAAGACTTTTAAAAAGCTCACAAAATAATAATTCCAATTATGACACATACATTGAAGGTATGCATTTAGCTTTAATCTTTCTTTATGCAGATAGTCAGTAGTCAAGTGTTTAGCTATAGTATGACAAATACATCTTTCTAGGTGCTGGACAATATAAGAGATGCTTGCATCCCATACCTGAGCCTTCAAGAACCTTACATTCTAGTGGTGGTGGGGTAGACAGATGCCCAATATAAAAGTAAATAATTACATAAAGTAATGAGTGTTGTAGAGGTAATTAATTAAATAGTGAATGAAACCCGAGCTGCTTTACTTACAGTTCAGGAATAAATATTTATATTTCTTACCAAAAAACGAAAATACAATAAAGGAGAGAGACATATTTCAGAGGACATTTAGGGCTCTATGTCAAAATCAAAACTCAAAGCTGGCAGAAAGGGATATTAGGTCACATAAAAGGCAAGTTTTCTGTTCCAGAGAATAGGGAATAACAGAAAGGATTCAGCCTAGTGGTTAAGACGGCACTTAATATGCCCACACTCCATTCTAGACTGTCTGGGTTCGTTTCTTAGTTCTGGCTACAGATCCAAGCTTCCTTCCAATGTGGATCTTGGGAGACAGCAGGTGATGGCTCAACTGGATGGGTCCCTGCTACGCACATGAGACCTTGATTGGGTTTCTAGCTCCAGACTTTGGCCTGGCTTAGCCCACCTGTTGTGGGCATTGAGGAATGAATCCGCAAATGGTAGCTGTGTCTCTTTGCTCTTGAATAAATAAATTTTTTTTTAAAAATAACAGACAATGGAGGTGGGCATTACGGTACAGTGCATTAAGCTACCACTTAAGATGCCTGCATTCTATAGCTGAGCAATGGTTTGAGTCACAGCTACTCTGCTTCTTATCTAGCTTACTACTAGTGCATCCTGGGAGACAGCAGGTGAAATAGCTCAAGTAATTGGACCCTGCCACCCATGTGGGAGACCTGATGGAATTCCTGGATTCTGGTTTCTACCTGGCTCAATCCTAGCTGTGGTAGGTATTTACAAATAATGGAAAATCTCTCTCTCCACACTTCTCTGTCACTCTGCCTTTCAAATAAGTCTTTAAAAAAAGAATAGAAAATAGTAGTGGATAAAAAGGAAATATTCAGATGAATTATAACTAAATAACTTTGTAACAACAGAAGAGTTAAAATGCAGCCAATAGATTGAGAAGGAGAAATGCTGAAATGATAGCAATAAATTTAAGTATAATCTATAGTTACTTAGGAGCATTTCTATGATATTAGTTGATAGATAAAACAAAGAACAAAATACAGAAAAAGCAGTTATAAGTTACAAAATCAATAAATTGTGAAAGTTATGGTCTTTAGGGAAATATAGGCTTTTCTGACTACTGGGGTTTGGAGACTGAAAGATTAATACACCTGTCCAACGAGAAGCCAAACTGAAGTCACAGTTACATATCGCAACTGCTTTCTTTTGTGCCTTCTGAAAACTGGCTTAAATAAAATAATATTTAAATTTAAAAGATAAAGTGCCTATGAGCTTGCAGCGCCTCTGTGTTAATGCTCTACTCTAACTACCATAGAGCCTCCTCCACAGTGCCACCCTTCAGTAAGCAGACTATTAGTCGTCATCATCATGTCCTGGGCTGCCTCCTTTCCTCAGAGGAAAGCAGAGAAGGCCGGGAAACGGAATTGGAATAACCCAGGAAGAAAAGATGAGGAAGACTTAAGGTAGGGAGAAGACAGGAAAACAGGAATGATATATTAAGTCTCCCATTTATTTGACCAAGAAACAGGCTCCTTCTTCGTGACCAAATTTTAAGTACATTTCTAAGTATGCACCGCAAGACTATACTTGGCAAAAGGAGTCTAAACTGAAGTCTCACTTTTGTTTTAGTGGGGGCAAGGAAAGGAACAAGGGAGCTATTTTGATTTAAAAGAAAATAAGCTCCTATGTCCATGCTGAAGTAATCTGTGTGGAACATTTTATTTAAATTTGGCTGGAGAAATGGAGACTAAACTCCCCAGGAATGATTATAGGGGTGTTGGTCCCAAATCTTTAAGGTACATAAGACTCCCTGGGAAACGTTGAGATCAGCAGATTCCTGTGTCTCAATTCTAAATAGGGCAATAGGGCACAGCATTAACAAGCACTTCCTGTGATTCTGATGCAGGAGGTCTCGCGAGAGCATCCTTTGACCGTGTGCAAAGTCTTACCTTTGTAAGGTAGCAAAATTAGTACCCATTTTTTAATAGGGAGAAGTGAGAAAACAAGCATGAGTTTTAGGGAGAAAATGGATCTGGATATCACCAACTAGATTTCCTTAATCCCTTGCCGGGGCTCGTGTGTGTGTGTATGTGTGAGCGCGTGTGTGTTACTCACACATAATTAGATAGTATGCTATTTTTCTCTCACTTAAAACATTTAAAAATAAATCTTATTATGTTCATCATAAAATGATCAAAGAAAAGCTCATTATTAATATTCCCCATTTGATCTCAGAAAGCTTTTAAAAACTACTTCAACTTTCATTTCACTATATACTTATTTCATTCAATAACAAAATAAATACATATTCAAGGTTATTATATAGCAGGTAAAGTTGCTCAAGTCTCTAAGGGCTTAAGGGTATGAGAAACAGACAGCAATTATACCTAGTTGAGAACAGGGAGAGATGAATCAATAAACTACTAAAGGAAGTAATAACTAAAAAAGATTGATTTAATTATTTAAAAACACAGTTACAGAGGGAGAATGTATGTGTTTGGGGAGAGAGAGAGAGAAAGAAATAGAAAATCTTCCATCTACTGGTTCACTCCCCAAATGGCTGCAATGGTGGGGGCTGGGCCAGGCTGAATCCACGAGCCAGGAACTCCATCTGGGTCTTCTATGAGGGTGGCAGCTCTTGGGCCATCTTCCGCTGCTTCTCAGGTGCATTAGCAGGGAGCTAGATCACAGGTGGAGCAGCTAGGACTCAAACTGGTGCTCTGATAAGGGATGACAACACAATGCTATCCCGTAATGCATGTTTAATGAGAACAGAGTTTCAGTTTTACAAAATGAAGTGTTCTGGAGGTAGGATGGTGCTCTCTCTCTCTAACTCTGCCTTTCAAATAAACAAATAAATCTTGAGGAAAAAAACACTCATTTCCAATTCCTCTCTCCTCCCAACCCCAGTAACCACCATTCTACTCCCATCTCTATGATTTTGACCACTCTAAGCACCTCATGAAAGTGGGATCATGTGATATTTGCCTTTTTGTGACAGGCTTTATTTCACTTTGCCCAATATCCTCAAGGTTCATTCATGTTGTAACAAATATCAGAACTTCCCTTGCTTTTAAAGCTGGGCATGATTCTACTGTACAGGCCCACCCATCTGTGGATGGGCATTCAGGTTGTTTCTGCATTTTACATAGTGTGAATAATGTTGCCACTAACATGGATGTATGTATATTCTTTGAGAGCCTGCTTTCAATTCTTTTGGGTATATACCCAGAAATGGAATTGCTGTATTGTACTGTAATTCTATTTTTTGAGGAACCACCAAGCTGTTTCTCACAAGGGGCTATGCCATTTTCTATTTCTTAACATATAATATTTTCAAACCATAGAAAAATAACATAGTTTATAAAAGACCGTTTTGATTGCATGGGAACAACAACTTGTAGGGCAGCAGGAGTGGAAATGACTGAGCACACTGTAGTCCTCCATCTTGGTCTCATCCCTCCATTGTGACCCCTCTCTCAGAAGGACTCTTGCCACCTGCAAGCTGACCTGGTGCCACCATAAACTTTAAGCCTTCCTCATGAAGTCAAGAAAACTACCAGGATGCCTGAGGGGCTAACTCCTAAACCATAAGTAAAGGAATACTGTAATAAAATCTTCTACCCCAGCTCCCCAGTGTTTTGTCAAATGAGTAAAATCTTTCTCCGCCTGGCACTCTGTGCAGAAAAAAATCTTGCAACAACTCCTAACCAGATCATCCATCCACCTGGGTCTGGAAACTGTTATGTAAGTTGCCCGCTGCTTCTTCCTCATCCTTTGTTCTCAGCATTCCTTCTCAGTTCAGCAGACGCGGCAGATTCTGCTGACATTCAGACATTCATTCAACTTTGTTTTAGTTTTTAAACAAGCTATAGGTTTGTATATTTTATATTTTAGTCTGATACTTACTTTACTTTTTTAATCTAAAACACCTATATTTGAGGCCAGTGTTGTGGCATAGCAGGTAAATCTGCCACCTGAGACTACAGCATTTCCCATCCATGTCCCTGTTAATGGCCTGGGAAAAGCAGGCCACCACATGGGAGACCTGGATGAAGCTCCTGGCTTCTGGCTTCAGCCTGGCCCAGTGCTGGCTGTTGCAGGCATATGTGGAGTGAACCAGTGGATAGCCAATCTTTCTCTCTCTTTCTCTATATTTGCCTCTCTGTAACTCTGCTTTTCAAATAAATAAGTAAATCTTTAAAAAAGAGTTTTAAAAATCTATATTTGTTTTAAATACATATAGAGACTATATGAGAAAATGGAGGGCGTAATCGGTTAGAGCATTTGGCTGTTAACTGAAAGGCTGGTTGAATCAAGGACTTCAAATGAGGATGCCTGAGATAAGGATCCTATCTCATAGGAGAGACAGCAAAATTAGCTGATAAAGAATTTTCAAACTATACATGAAAAGAGCTAATGAAGCAATCTTGAAAAAGCTCTAATTACTGA